ATCAATCCAGGAATTTTTCGTAGCATGACATTCCAAATGTGGTAGTATAAACAAGCATATAGAAGCAGAACCCATTCGTCACCATCTAGGAAATCAGTCGTAACCCAAAACTGCTCCGCGTAACTACCCCGTTTAAAATAGTCAGTTTCAACAATGTTCAGAACCATATTAACCCGGTCACCCAGTGGACTCTCAGTTCCACAGAGCAGCACTGATGGTGTTTTTCAGCACGAGCATGAAATGCCTGCAAACAACATTGCTAGCATAGAGTACCCTAAAACACGGACATAAACTTCCTTCTCGAACATCTATCTACTTAAAGGAATAGCACTATTCCCCAAATTTGCACGTTTTATCTGATAGTTCCCTTATTATGGGAGATCTAAGAGACCAACTTTCACAATAACCTGGGGTAATTTGTATCGTGTCAGTTATTATTTTGTTATCAAAGTTTTATATCCGCGTTACTTTCCCCACCGTAGTGTTCTATAAATTGTGCTGAAAATTTCATCGTCCTATGTATAAAGATTCCTTTGGCTTTCCAGCGGTTGGACTCACGACAAATTGACAAAGAGCACGGTTGACTTCAGCTCGATGTTATAACCCACATTGTCTTATTCAAATTGCTTATATTTTCTCCAGTATCACGATCAATCACAATTCTTTTATCGTTCAGTGTACCTTGTGGTATTATGATTGGACTGCTCAGGCGAATAGAAATTTCCCATTCAAACAGGCGAATTTATCGTTGTGAACAGACAATTTTTGCATAATTCCTCCGGTCGAACAATAGACCAACCCGTGAAAGCAGCACAGACTTGAAAACAAGCTTGGTACCGACGCTATAACAATGTAAGCTCAACAAGTACCGTGGAGTAGTTACGACAAGAAAGAAAAAACGAACAACGCTCATAATCATTTAACTAGCGGTCCGTGTAAAGTGTGCCCTTGGATTATGCGGTTTACCCTTTTTACTGTATTCACTTCGAGATAATGAAATAATAATAAAACTAAGCTCATATCACATGGACGGATGAATGGGTGCATCCACTTCAAGGATAATGACAAAGTGATTTCAGAAAAAAACACTTTCAGTTGACCAATCAATGACCGGAGTTTGCTATTGGTGTAGTGCGCATTTCACCCCACGATTCTAGCGGTCTAGTTCATCTGAATGGTGAAATTCCGTCGCGTACTTTTGCAAACTGCAATTCCATCTTCCACCTGTAATGGCATTGAATGATGGAGGCTGCATTTCAGCTAGACAATACTGCGGTTCACAACGTGCGTCTGACCAGAATCTGCCTATTTTCCAGCGGTATCGAAGTGATAGCGTGATCTGCTCAGTACTCCACCCAATGGAATAAACTTAGAGACTTCTAACCCGAAAGCCGTATCTTAATCCAAGAATACGATCACAGAAGGATAAACTGGAGGCCACTCGCAAAAACAGCAATGACCGTTCATCGACAACGAAGTTTCCGAAATCACAAGGAGAACGTTCCCAAAGTTTGTTGAGATTCCGGAGGAGAACGACCGCTCTACGTAGTAATCACTTGCTACTCTTGCACTGAATCGCAAAGGGCATGATACATTTCCTTCACAGCATCATTTTCCCTTTTCATCGTGTTTTCTAAGAAGAACTGAGCAACAGAACTTTTGTATTCCGGCTTCTTTACTCGTTTACTGTAATGAAGATCATGGACAGTTACTATTTCAGCCAGAAATGAATCGACATGCTGCACAATTCTAGAGTGAGGGGTTAGAATGTGTGCACTTGACCCAAAGGAAACGAAATTTCTGGACTGAGCCATTAAACTGTAGATTGTTATAGTGTTCATAACTGAGAACAATTCGCAACTTAAAATGAAAGCTAAAACTGTTGAGTTTTTGTGGCTCCGATGCAGTGTGAAGTCAAGATAAGCAAATCAAACATACATATATCCCATTCGATTGTTCAGAGGCACCCGGCACTTGACGGTCTTGGGTGTGGGTTTCACTCCTTGGGAGATCGTAAATTCCCCACTAGTTGAATGCATTTTAATTCGATGTTTGCGATAACCGACAAAGAGCACTGGACAGCTATTTCCTCCGATTTGGGACCCGTCAGCAGTGCTCACTTGTGGTGTCCCTGTCAAGCTTGATGCTCTAGAAAATTGATTGAGCCATTCGAGCAAGGTGATGACCGTCGACCGTGTAGCTCAGGGATAAGGGTTCGAAGTCCCAACCCGATTAACTCTCCGAAAAATCCACTTAGAAAACAAGCTGCTTTTCGAAGTCATCAGTTGCCCATCCACCTGGAAGATATCCAACATTTGTGAAACATCCTTTTCCCTTTATCCATTTCATCAACATCAGAAGACATATGTGGGCAGAATTGATATTGGCCATCAATTTCGCATGCTCTCATTCAGCTGTGAACGCACATTTATAGGATCACGTGAAACGAAGATGTATAAGAGTTGAAATATTCGTTTCACATGATATCCAACATTGAATCGTTTCGTGTTGGAGAACAATATTCTTCATGGGGTGCACCCAATATCATCATTTTGGACCTTAGTTGACACAGTTTGCAAACAAACCGTTTGGGCTGCACAAGAGTCTGACTTGAACAGTTTCGTTCAGACCGCTGCTATCGTGCACAAGATGAAACGGATGAAGTTGGATCACATCGAGTGCGCCTCATGAACGCTTAAACTACGCCCGCTCGTTGAATACTCATAAAGCCACTATTGACTTAACTGACTTGAATTGTTCCACTGAGACATTGGCATACTGCACTGTTCTTGCTTCTGCTTGTTCAAGTCAATAGGAGTGGCGACAACACCGTACTCTCTTGGACAACAGTCTTTTCATTTGAATTATGCATCCAGTTCCTCAATAACCGATCCTATCCGGAGACTGATCACTTTCCATAGATCTCGATCACTCGGACACCAAAGGCAGATACCCACTTCGTAGTTCACTTAGGCCAAAAGGGCAAATCTTCACCCAAAATCTTGACAAACAACAAGGCAGTTCACTTCGCCTAAACATTTTCACACCCGCCCAAGGCTTCTGTCAAATTCTGTGCCCTTATTAAGGCAAGCTGATGACGCCTCTTCGGATTCAAGTCTTCTTCAAATCCAGTCATAACCTTACACCGAAGTACTGTATCATAATTCTATCCTTTTTCATTTTTACTTCCTTTTATTGAATACAATATGATTTTCAGGAAGAGGGAACCAGCCAATCAAAGAACTGTCATAAGACAAATGAGGGAAGTCAGGCGGTGGTGGTGATGGGATTCGAAAACACTTCCTCCGGGGTGATAATTTTGCTGACGTTACCACCGGGCCACCACTGTTACATTCATTGGCTACCTCCATTTTATCCGCTTACACTGCGATCGTCGAGCGCTTAGATACTCCTTTAACCCACTCTTATCCGAATTTCATACAGCAAAATTTTGGGACATCCCCCAAGCTTCGTAAACTGCTGATATAAATCACTCTGATCATCAAACGAATTGGTGGCAAACTTGCACAAAGGATTTTCCAAGAACATGTGTTCTCTGCACTACCGGTCTTCCCACCCTTTCAGAGACCAGACTGCCGTAAGCCGTCCCATGAGCAATTACAGGAATTCCGATCTCACCCGATATTCATCCTCTCCAAGTAAATGCTGTACAACCTTCGAGATACTCATGTCCAAATTTTTCAATTTTCTAACCCGGCGAGTGACTTGTAAACATGTGTAAGAGCTGTAAGCAGCTTTGCTTACAAAAGTCACTGTCCCGTAAATCTGGCTGTGACGAACAACAGCCATGGCAGCTCTAAAATCTATCAAGTGTCATGTAGCTTCAGCAGCGGATCTACCTGAGTTCGGTCCGTCTTCGGAACTAATATCGTGGACCCATACTTATTCCGAAGACTGTTTTCATTACACACGTGCGTGATGAACAGCAGACGGGTTGGAATCCGCAGTCATGAAGACTTGCCGCTGTGGTAGAAACCGGTGGCTGAAACTCGGGGACTTGGAGTAACGAACCACATAACGCCCTGCTACGTCAGGCGCGGCACTGAACCGGACGACAGGAAAGTCGCCGACCGCCAAAGGTGGGTATATATTACCAAACATATCCGAGCCCAGTCTGTGCCAAACAATTCATGGTACAATTTTCTCACATGCCTGAGCTCACGGTACAATAATCTTCATTAAGAGAAAAAGGCCCATGAGTTCCCCAGGTCGAAGTGAAGTTTCTTAAAGAATTCACAACCGGAGCCTTCGGCTAAATAAAGCCCGAGTGATAAAGCAGCAGGGCGATGTGTGAAAACCGCAACCTACTGGGGGGCCAGTGTCCAGTTCATTGGATCACACACCTTTTAGACGGGGCCAAACGCCCAACCTGCCCAATAAAACTTGATCCCCAATCCAGCCGGCAACCACTGTCACAATCGGAAAGACGTGCGGTTCCTCCCCCTTCTAGACTGCTTTCGAATCAGGGTTTTAAGCCAACTTCTCTAGGTGAACTGCCAGCGGTTCACCGACCCCGTTATAGCCCCAGGCTTTTGGTCCCCTCACTTTGGTGGGAAAGCACTGACATAACAGGGCAGCAGAGGCTATTTGGGACCACCCCGAGGTGGGGTTTCAGCCCCGGACAATAGGGTCCGAAGCACGATGAATAAACCACTGCTACATCGTAATCCACGACAAAGCACACACCGCTCGCTCTCCAAAGTCTAGTACCTGAGCTCCTACTGCTTATTAGCGAACTCATCTCTTCCATTGACATTTGTACGCGTCTTCGCCAATACCGCTGTTTCCACATAAATCATACACGTCCTATCGTACGTACTCCATAAGAAATTACTAGCGAGCAATCCGACGCCCCATACTGACCAAATCCAATCTCATACATACATCCCGGGACTAATCCGGACATGTACCACAACCCTTGCTTCTGCATTTGAGCAAATTTCTACCAAGTAAGGATAAGGGATCATGGTAAAAATTGGTCATATGTGAGGACCCTCAATTTCCCTTAGGACGTAAGTACACCTCTAGACTCTGATAAAAAAAACCGTAGACTGACGGCTATTGCCTGAAAACCGAAAGTGGTGATACTTATAACAACCATTTGTGCCCTTATGTTGAGAAACGCCCTCAAGGCAAGAATCCGCCACATCCAAGAGTATCGCGGTTGACTATCCCAGACAGCTTATATGGTGGCGGAGCCCAATCAAAGGCGACCGCTCATTCTAGTAGCCAATTCAGACTGGCCAGAGATACGTTGGACAACAAAGCTGACACTCAACCTTGTTCTACGCAACGTGGTTCGAGTGCGATGAAGCTCTAGAATTATCTGCATTCCTAGGGGAAACATCCTAGTTACGCCCAACCGAGATGCAAAGTAATCAAAATGGAGCAGAGCTTCACACGACGAATACGCCACAGTACTTACAGCAAAACCTTTGGTCACTACTAACACGTACTCTCAAACGCACTACCCGTCTGTTGAATAAACTGAACGACAAAAACAAACGTAGAAGCTAGAAGTGTATATAGTTGAAGCAAAAGATGTACAACAGATGATTATTTACAATGGGGCCAAAACTGCGGGATCAAGAATTATCCCGACCATTCTTCGAGGGCCAATCAGTTATGTGATCCGTTACTCCTGATTCATAGTTCTGCCACATTCTTGCATACAATGCTTCCAAATCTGACGCATAATAATGGCAGTCGAACAAAGGTGACGATTCCCTGGCCTTCCATACCTGAAGAACATAGTTTAGTATCAAATTGATCTCACCTTAGCCCGTATCGCCTGCAGGTACTCGCGATTGTTGCCCAACTTGCTCGCGATGCGCACATAGTCCTCTTGGCTGGAAGCTATCAGCTCTGGACATCCTAAAGTATGGAGTTGGCTAGCAGCGACGCGGCTGGCAAGAGTCTCCAAAGGCAAAGTCACTACAGGACAACCCGCCCACAAAACGTCCATCCCTGTTGTGTGCCCGTTGCACAGAGGTGTGTCAAGACAGACGTCAGCTACCTGAAATAGAATGAATGATACAAAATTAAACCGTGACTCACCTGTCCGCGTCGAACATGCTCCTCCTTCGGTGCAACGTTGCTGAAAATGATGCGCCTGTGAACATGCTGTAAGCCCATTTCTGTCGCTGCAGCTAAAGCACCAGCCTCTCCAGCCGCAGGGAAACGGAGTAACCACAATACAGAATTTGGCACAGCCTTCAGGATCTCTACCCACATGCGCATTGTTGATGGGTCAATTTTATAGAGCTGGTTGAAATTACAAAACACCACCGCGTCTTCCGGCAAACCATAGTGCTGTCGGGATGTCAAGATTAGATCACGTGGAACCTCTTCGCCCGCAGATGCCTTGGATTGAGTTTGCTGTGTAACCAAGCCGTTGTGGATGGTGACGTCATTGATCGTACACGATGGGCTGTTTGTACGAATCATATTCTGTATAGGCTGCAACGACGGTAGTGTCAGGACTGTGAGCTTGACGAAGTACGCGGTCTCTTTCTTTTGATTGCCATTTGTCTCCACTAGACGACCACCGTATGCAACCTCACGAACACAAGCCACCTGGAGTAGTGCTTTGATGTCCAAACCACTAACAACCATGCAATTGTCTGTCGCTCGCCGAGATCCGATGGGATCGTCTGCACTCTCCAACATCACACGGTTACGCAGATGGGGAAACATCTGGTAGTGGTCACCAACAAAGAACGTTTTCGGCATGTAGGCCAACTTCTCTGAATACTGATGACTAAGGCGCATCGGTGACGTGACCGAATCCGTGATAATGTAGTCCATGAAAGTCGATCCGCTAGTGCCAGGATAACCAAGCCACATCGCCTGAATTGGGGCCGGCTTTAGTGCGAATATCTCGTTTCGAGCACCCTTGGTGTATCCGTTCATGTTCAGTAGAATGTGTATACCATCACTAGCAATCCTGTCGGCGGCTTTGCCGTGACACTGGATACCGCTAAGATCCACAAAATGCTCCGCTTCGTTGGCAACTTTAGCACGAAAATTTGTACCATCATCCGGTGCCAAAGAATAACAAAAAACTTCCACTTTCGCACGATCGTGAAAACCAGGAATACTTTGCATGAGGTGGCTTGTAGGATGATTGCAGAAATCAGAGCTCACGTAACCAATTTTTAGACGCTGTCCAGGTTGCAATTTCCTCGGGAAACGGAACGGCGGATGGTGCAGCAAAGAAACCTTTTCCAAACACAGGGAGGCATGTTTTCCAGCTATCTTCTTCCTTTGCTCATGCGTCAGTGGGTACAACATCGAATGGTGAGGATGAACTGACGGGAGGCGATTAGACTCTAGCTGATCTTGCACCATTGAAACTAGGCGTTTCATCCTGTGCTTGTAGTCTGACCAATCGCATACGATCTGCAGACAGTGGGCCAGATTGCAAAATGCATCTGGGAAGTTAGGCTTCAACTTTAACGCTGTCTTGTACGATGCGATCGCCTCGGCCAAATTACCACTGTCCTTAAGAATACTAGCCAAATTAGAATGCGCATCAGCAAACGCTGGATTTATCTGTATAGCCCGCTGGTAACATTGCATGGCACCCTGCACATCTTGCAACTCCTTCAACGTGTTCCCCATATTTGAGTAGGCATCAGCAAACGTTGGAGAAATACGAATTGCTTCCCTGTAATGCAGTAGGGCTTCTTGCAGTTTCCCTTGCAACTGGAGCATGCTTGCCAAGTTGGAATGAGCGACAGCAAACTCCGGATATATCTCCAGTGCTCGCACATACAGTCGAATAGCTTCTTCGGCTTTGCCTTGTTCACGTTTGATATTGGCTAAATTGTTCAACGAATCCGCATGGGTAGGACAAAGTCTCAATGCGGTGTTGTAATACTCCTCTGCTTCGGCGACCTTGCCCTTTTCCTTGAGCGCATTGGCCAAATTACAATAGGCATCAGGAAAGTTAGATTGAAGCTCTATTGCTCGTTTGTAAGTATCGATGGCCAGATCGATCAGATTCTGTTCGTAGTACACGCATGCCAAATTACCGTGCACAACGGCATTGTTAGGTGAGAGAGCGAGAGCTCTCAAGTAAGCTGCAACTGCACGGTCAAAGATCCGTGCTTCTTTCAAAACATTGCCCAAATTCACGTAAGCATCCAGAAAATTCGGATCCAATGTTACAGCCTATAGCGATGGAATTTAGTGGAAAACAAAGTACCTTCTCAAAGTGATGAATAGCCAGCCATATCTCATTCTGGGCGTTGAACACACATCCCAGATTGCTCCATGCTACCGCAAATGTTGGACAGGTTTCGATAGCTTTCAGATAGCATGACTGGAAGGGAAAAAAATAATCCTTAAGACCGAAAACGTTAAGTCGCGCGCAAGACGTCTTTCGACGTCTCATTTATGAACGAGCGAAGCATGCCAGCGCGGTATCCGCAGTAGATCTAAATAATGGGATCAGCCAATCAATGAAATAATGCGCGGTGCAGAGCACCTCCTAAAGGGGCGCGCTAAAATTACGCCAGAAGGGGGTGGGGGAAACTCACAACTGTTTCACGCACAGAACGACCAGGTCGACGAGTTGTTCCCAAGATGTCCTGCTGCCGCGGTCTGCATACATAACTGTTTAAGAGAAAAGGTCTCATTCATTAGATAGGCTCTCAGTTCAAAAACATGATCCGACTGCTTAGATAACAAAAAGCAGCGCGACGACCTGAAGTCGGTACAAAACAAACCGTACAGCGGGACGCTAAACAAGCAGTCGATTCTCGCAGCGCGTCGGGATCATATGAAGCACGCTTACTTTTGCTTCATCCAGGCGCCCAAGTGCCTTGAGCAGATTGCCAAGGTCGCTTCTCACGCAGTAAAGATCCTGCAAAAGAAGATAGTATCAAACCATAATCACTACACCACGCGAAGGGTACGACCGAGTAAACAAACGCAATTCACGAGATAGTCGTGCTGGTTCAATACTTCACCCGGTCAATTATGACTATTGGGTACTGTCATCGCAGTTATAATCATCTTCTAGTGAAATACAGTGAAGCGGACTTTGCTGATAGCTGCCAAGACCCCGGGTGCTCCAGCGATAGCCAATGCAGTGCTGATATGACCGAACGGTAAACCCTTGTGACCATGGGGTTAAACCTACCGTCCACTATGTTGAGCATTAGGAACTTATCGCTTGAATGCCGGTAACACCATTGAACCTTGTAATCAGTATTGAGCAATCAAAGACCCGTTGCAGGCCCAACTGCCTTGTGCTTTTTGTGTATTACAAAAATTAGGCAGTTTTTACAAGAGTAGTCAGACGTGCGACGGTCTCAAATCGAAAGACCTACTTTCTGGATTAACCAGTAGGTTTTCGTGAGATTTTTCGACCTCATAGAAAACCGCACCAATCCAGCATACCCTGATACTTTAATGCTTGTAAGTATGCTGATGATATTGTGATCGCTTGTCCATCCCCAATTTTAGAAAACTCTCGACCTACCCAGGACAGTTTTAATGAACTCCACGATTGTTCTGTCACCCGATTCCTTGTACTTAACGTCAGTAAGCGCACTGAAGTTCCATTTATTCTTAAAATCGGCCCCCATTATTTTTTATTAGTTATTAATCTCTCCTTAGAGTTAACAACCAAAGGCCTCTGAAATCCTCAGTATGGTCGAGAGTGGGTTGTGACTGGTCACCCTACTCTTGCACCTCGCGAAATGCTCCCATACGATGAAGCGTCTCGAATAGTCTCTATTGAGAAAGCCCTACTCACTGCCTCCTCATGGCAGAGGTGTTTTTCCACCAAAGTGGGACCACTGGTAGTTCACCTAGGAGAGTTGACCAAAAAGCTTGATTCCAAACCAACCATGAGGTGTACGAACCACACACACCTTCTCGGTTTTGGCGATTGTGGGAACCGGCTAGATTGGGCATCGAGGTCTAATGAGCATGTTGGACGTTTGACCCCGCCTAAAGGGCGAATGATGCGATGAACTGGACACCGGCTCCCAATGAACGGTTTTTACACACCGCCTAGCTGCCTTGAGGGTCAGGCTTTGGTTAGCTAAACGCTCCGGTAGTGGATTCCACAAGAAAACTCACTTGCCTTTGTCTGTGCGACCTGGCCGTATCCCGCCCACATGCAAATCATGGAACGTTTTCCTTTTTTCATGAAGATTATTGTACCTTGATTCGTTTGGCAGTCTCTATTCAGACATGTGAAAGCAATAATAAATAATAAACGTTATCGAAATAGGCGTGCGGAACAGGTCTACATGGCCTATAAATTCTTGATGCCGGTACCTTTTTATAAGCCAACTCACTTCTCCTACTGCGCGGAAGGTTCTTTTTTTATTCCGCGCCACACCCTTTCCCATCCAGACTCATCTTCTGTTACTATACCAAGCTCAAATCTGCCCTGCTGTTGAATACTGCAGTCCGGTGTAGGATGGGCTTTGTCTTCTCCTGTTTCCCTTATGGATCGTGTTTAACAATGAGCGATTATCCTTCTCTAACACCCATTTTGTAGTTACTGGCCCCTCAGCAGGCAGTTGTTTCGGTGTCCCCCTGTATCGTTACTACTTTTTATTTTTGTTCTTCGAAGCTTGTCTCGGCAGTTCCTCTTCCTGCAACTTTAGCTCATCTGTCCCGTACACAGGCATCCTCATAAGATTCCGGTTCCCAGATGTCGTATCTCTCCGCCCCCATCTTTTTTATTCCCCCGAACTGCCAAGCTATGAAACACGCTCTCTCTCTCTCCCCTAACTTACAACCTTACACTCTTCAAAGGCAGAATAAATAATATGGATCTTACGTGATCGTCCCCAAGTCTCCTTTTAACAGTATGCTTTTTGTCTACGGCGATCTCTTCCTTTACTGTAATTCACATTATGTAATAAAAGAAGCAGTCTACGAGGTGAAGTGTGCAACCTACACACGGCAGCATCGGCCGGACTGCCATAGCATATCCTTGATTTTTTTTTAAGGATGGATGTCAGAAGTAGGCTAAAGCCAGCCGGTTTTTCTGTATACGTGATTACATTTTATCTGGGAAGTATTCCGCGAGATGTGGATATCGGAAAAGTAAAATTAACCGCTCATGTGGTGCGATCGGGAGCGGGACCAGCCCAATCCTGTGCCAGAATCTTACACATAGAAAGGGCAATTAGCGTGCTGAATATAATTATTCAAATATTCAGACTACATGGATGAGCAAGAAACTGATATAAATTTTTACTCAGCACAGCGGTGATATGGGTATATCCGGACTGAAACAACTCCCACGGCATTCCCATGGGTTCGTACTGGTTTCTTAAAACACGTTGGTATCACATGGCAGCTCTCTAATCGGCCGCATCTCCTCTCTGAACGTTGTGAATGCAATCGTGTATCCAACAAAAGGAAGGAGGATAAAAAAGCATAATAATATAACGCAATTCATTGATCACATTGACTTCGGTAAATGGTAGGAAATTATAAAGCATACGACCAGATCGGCCAAGAGAAATGTTTAGTGACCGTGACACTAAATGCACTTCGCTTCTGGAGCACCCCGCGGGGTCCGACTAAGAATGGTTGTCGAGTATCACTTGTGAACCGTTCTCACGCTGGTATTTCTATTTAGTATACTATTACCCGAATAATTTTCCAAATGCTTGGTCAAGGGAAGACTGATATATTTACAGCAGATAATTGAACGCTCAAGTTCAAAATAATACTAACCAGCATTGCAATACAAGCAGTTTTCTGCACTTACGGGGTTATATTGCAACGCAGTTGCATAGGCGCTGACGGCAGATTCCATGTCACCAGCCGCGACTAAGGCCGCAGCGAGATTGATGTAGCCATCGATAAAATCAGGTTTGATCCTAAGAGCGTGTCTGTAATTATCGATCGCTTCTTTTAACTGGCCACGCTCCTTGTAAACATTACCAAGGTTTGAGTACGCTTCAGCCATCAGAGGGTTCTTTTTGATTGCCAACTGACTGAAATGAGCGGATCGATCCATTCGGCGACATTGGAAGTATATGGAGCTCAAAAGCAACAATGTTGATGTATTTTCTGGATCCTGGTTCCAAAGTTGCATGCAGTGCTGTTCGGCTTGTTCATAGTCACCAGCTTGATATTCTCTGTGAGCGAGTTCAGCCAAACCTATAACAGAAAAATTAGTAAACAAGGTGAACGGCTCATTTCTCTAAAAATTAACTTGATAACCCATAACGGAAGTTGGTGTGTTGGCTCGAGCATCTCTAGGATCCAAGCTACAAATGACGGCTTTTATCAAGTCAGAAGACCATATTGAAGTTTATTCGCCTGGTACTCAAGGTTGGGAGTTTGACGCGAGTTGGGGTAATCGAAGTAAACGAGCTGTCATCTCTTCACACCTGATGCCTCGCGGTTAGGGTTTTGTTACAACTCACGGCTTTGGTTGAGAACCTTGATGGTTTTCTCGCTTTGCGAATGGGCTCTCTGGCAGTAACCTTCGATCAAATTCCAATAAATACAAAACAAACAAAATTCCATTCCATCAAGTAAAGTAAAGTCAAGGAATGGCTTTATACACCCCGAGAGTTGGATATGCAGCAACCACATAACCATAGTGTTAACAAAAAGTGGAAAAAACAGCAACCGCAGTATGATACAGCAATTAAAGGACGTGAAAAAGGACAGCAACATCAAAATCGATGCCATACTCGGGTGTATAGAATGGATTTAGTCTAACATCTGGCGCAGATTTTCTGCAACAAGTTCATGGTTCGTTAGAAACCTGGCGAGACATGGGACAATAGACCGCCTGTAAGCTTCAGTGCGTGTCCTTAAAAGTTTGAGTAGAACGGGTGGATGAGTGAGAAAGGCACTGACTGAGGGCGGAATAAAGAGGATGAGATATCAGATAAAATCTTTTTGGAGAATGTTTTACAGGACTTGAAGTGATGTTTAACCACATACTGTACTAGATGTTCCCGTGATGAGACTACAAACTGACAGAAATTTGAGGGATCGGGAAATGAGTTTGAGGTCCTTGTTCAACAGATCGGGGAAGATAACGGGGGACCCATAAAGCCAGTGAGGCGAAACGCACGCAGAAACAAAACGCCTTACGAGATGGTTTGGAATGGAAAGTGGTTTAAGACGTAAAACATAAAACGTGAGCCTCCTGGCCTTCAGAAAAACGTCATTGACGTGGTCAGACCAGGTGAGGTTACGGCTGAAAATAATGCCCAGGTATTTGACAGACGGTTGTCGTTCCACCTCGTCACTCAGGATAGATAAAGGCGGGCTGGCGTTTGATAATTCACCATACTTTTGCCCTTTCAAAAAAGAAAAAATTACGTTACATTTTTGGGGGTTCATGCGGAGGTTCCTTTCTTATGACCACTCAACTAGTTCGGACACGAAGTCGCGCGGGATAACCAGGACCACACTGGCCTTCGCATTGGGTAGGGTGGGGAGTGATAAGTGAGCTACTGCATAGATATCCCTAACTTTGTTCAATTATTTGTCCTCTATACCTAATGCCCAATCTTCTGGCTCGTAACATTCCCCTATTCGTGTTCATCACTCCTCAAAGTTTGTTGCCTAGTAGGGTTGTAGGTAGTTAAGCACCAAATAACTGCTGTTTCTGAAGCCTCGTCAAACTCTGAATCTGCAGACTCTCTTGCAGGTGGGTGCGTACAATGAACTCTTAAGGATATCTGCCGCGTATCTAAGCTGAGAATGTGAGATTCTAGTGCTATCAGCAACTCAAGTGCGTCGCATTTCTCTTTGAGTTACTTCCACCGCACACCAGTTGACGAGAAGCCTACTTAGGTTAGTACGGAGGTAATATACTAAACAACTGAGCCGGAGCTTCATTTGACGATTGGATCCAGGTCAATAATCGTTCATGTGCTGTGCGGCTCCAGGGGTCGTGTGCTTCAGATTTACCGACGTCCTTTTGTTCAATGAATAATTTATTCTTGGTGCATATCCTACCATTTTGTTAGTCTCGTTTTAGCTCTTATGCCTTGTATTTTGGCCGATTTAAGCCTGGCGATCAGGCGTTGTCTTATTATTATTATTACACTCTTCAGTGTGATGAACAGCACACTGGGTGAACCCCATAGTCACGAGGACTTAAGCCCCGGGACTTGGAATGGTGAACCACATAGAGCCCCGATAGGTTAGGCGTGGTATTGAACCGGACTCCAGCAAAGCTGCAAAGTCGGATGGCAGTGGCGGGGCTCAAACCTCGGACCATAGGGTCCAAAGCACGCCTGTGATAGCGACCAAACCACTTCGCCACCCCCATCTTCTGACTTGTCTGTGGACTAAACGTGCAAATTATTAGGCTGCAATCTCCCACTATTCGTACAATCTATCTATCTTAATCGACCAAAACCAATGGACAGACATCTATTTTCGGATCGCTTGGACTGTCATCCGAATACCCTAAATGCTGCTGACACATGCGAACACTGGTATTATACGTTCACCAGTTCAGTTCAGTTCAGTTTTTAAAACCATTAAGCATGCACCTTCGTGCGCCGGTTTTGGTTGCTGTCTTTTGGTACCCCATTTGGATAAAACAGCAGAATGATGATTAAAATGTTGACAGTAAATTAAAGCGGAAGATGGAGAATTCATATAGAATAGTGTTAGGGGAATAATGGGTGGATGCACTGTTTGCGACACCCAGCCATATCACTCAGTGTCTCTAACGATCGAAGACCATCATTCCGAGGTCCCCAGCCAGGGAGCCTAAAAGGGCCTATGTGACCTAGTGTCCTGGTTAGGGTTTTCATACCCTCATGCCAGGTATTAGCTTCACCACTCTTCATCTTTTTCTAACCGCTACCAGCCTTGGCAAACATCGCTCACCGCGGCAACCACCATCATCATCATCGTACAGCGAAATACCGTGAAGCAAACTTCACTGACCGCTACCAAACTCATAATGCATACTAGGTTAGTGGTAAAATTCAAGGTGAACAGGGGCTGGATCCATTTTGAGGAAGGGAGAAGATGAGCCACTATGGTCAACACACAGAGTACGCAATCGCACTCTGCATACATACAGTTCAAAGTGTTCTGGCCTGCCAAGAAATGACAACAAAAACGCCACTGCTGTCGGTTCGCTGCCATATCCTTCAATGTCTTCAACCAACCAGTTGTGGATTCTTTCGGACCCCAACCTGAAAGACGAGAGACACCTACTCTACCTAATGGCTCTGTGCATTTCTTCATGCCTCATCTCCACGTCATCTGTTGACCTCCACGTGGTTTGCTCCAACCCGGATTAGCTACAGCGAATAAAGCGCGGTGCGGCAGACGATGGCTGGGCATACGCAAAACGTGCCCTAGCCACCGAAGCCTAGT